TTCTTATTCTATTCCTATTCTTATTCTATTCATGTTCTTATTCTATTCCTATTCTTATTCTATTCCTAATTTTATCTACTCTTTTCTTATTCTAGTTTAAACAATTCTTTTGTATTTTTATTCTATTCCTATTCTTATTCTGTTCATATTCTAATCTACTCTTTTCTTATTCTAGTTTAGTCTAATCAATTTTTTGTATTCTTTTCTATTTCTATTCTATTCCTGTTCTTATTCCGTTTTATTCCTATTCTTATTCTATTCTATTCCATTCTTTTCTTATTCTACTTTAGTCTAATCAATTCTTTTGTACTCTTTTCTATTTCTATTCTATTCCTATTCTTATTCTATTTTATTCCTATTCTTGTTCTGTTCCAATTCTCCTCCATTCTTTTCTTATTCTAGTTTAGTCTAATCAATTTTTTGTATTCTTTTGTATTCTAAAAATGACTTATGACTGGTTCTCACACTAACGATGTCATCCCTATGAACACGTGATCAGAATTCAGACGCTTGGCAAATGACTCATATTTATGACAGTTGCAGCCTCCCCTGGTCACCTGATCTGGGGAAGGCAGATTCCCTTAACAACCATGTGACTGACTTAACAACTGCACTGATTCACTGAACGACCATGGCAAGAAAGGTTGTAAAATGGGACAAAACTAATTTAAGGAATGCCTCCCTTAGCAATGGAAGGACTACCTCTCCCTTTCCTCCTTTGCAGCCGTTCCCCCCATCCCATTTGTTCAGGTATTGGGATTTAAGAGGTGGCCAGATGTAAAGCTGATGTAATATAAGGCTGATGCAATGAAGATGAATTGGCATAGCATGGGTATTGCCCTTTTAAGATGAAGAATGGGTCCACAGAAGTTTTTACCTCTTTAAGAGGTATCTATATATGGGCAGTCATTAGAGGTCGTGTTTCTCCTTGTGTCCTGTCTTCACTGTAGAATTCTCCGTGCAGAGTTAAGAAGATTGATTGATTGTCAGGTATTTGCCTACCACATATATTTCTGTTAAACGTCTAAGTCTCGGTGTGCTGTGTTTTGCTCCTGGGTTGCTCTGACACCATTGGCCAATGCACCTGTGAATTGATGGTCTGTGTGTGGGGGGGTGCTTTTTCTTGTCCTTTCCCGATCCAGGTCATTTCACAACTACGCTCCACTTGCACCGATCTCACGGAAGAGGAACTGGCCAAGCTGGGAGTGGCACTCTTCAACTGCCAGGCCAGTGCCGAAGGTCGGAGGATTTACCTGTGCACTCAGGACATGGTACGTAGGCATACCTGGGCACCCTTGAGCAATGCTTCAGGCACCTTGGCCAGTGGCTGGAAGACTGCTCCAGCACCGGTTCCACTTCAGGTTGAAATTCTTGTTTTAATTCCCATGAAAAAGACTAGAGCTGTAGAGTTAGTGGTCTGAATGCAGTATTGCAGGCTAATTCTGCCAACTGTTAACAGTTTGAACCTGACTGGCTCAAGGTCGACTCAGCCCTCCACCCTTCCAAGGTTAGTAAAATAAAGTTAGCAGAGTCGGCTAAATTGACTGCTTTGTGTTCTGACCTAGGCTTCTCCAAGATCATGAAGCCAACTCCTCGTCCCAATAAAACCCCTTTTTATTAAGGTTAAAGGGAATTCCTCTCCAGCAAAGTCCCGGCAAACAGTCTTTCATGAGATTTCACAACTACAGACCTTTATCAGGCTTGGAGAATTGCCAGGCTAATAGCTTCCAAATGCCATGCTGTAGCAGCAATTACTTGGCAAGAATGTAGGAACAGATCTTCACCCAAATGAACTAATTGTCTCCTGCAAGGCCCCACTCCCCTTTCACTCGTCTTTATTCCCTATGGGAGGAGCCATTCACCATCCACCTGTGCCTTTACTCCCGAGTTGACCCTTGTTCCTCAGCTGTTCCCTTCTCCTGGCAGCTCTGTGCATGTGCACATCAGGAACAGGCTCCAGCTGTTCTTCTTCCCCACTGATCTCCAACTCTGAAGGCAGCTGATAACTGTCGGACGGCTCTGGCCCCATCTCTGCCTCTTGTTCCTCAGCTGTTCC